TGCAGCGGAGCCTCTGTCGGAGGAAACTCGGAGGAGTGAGGAGCAGCGCGCTGCCGCCCCTCGACGCAGGGAACGCAGGTGGGGGCAGGCCCCGGAGGAAGAGGAGGGAGGGACCGGGGGAGACCAGAGACAAGGACACGGGAGGCCATGCCTCGAAGACGAGGCAGGGAGGGGTGACCAAGGCGGTGGTGCCAGAGGAGAGTCTGGTGAGAAAGGAGACGACACGAGCAGGGGGCAGACTCAGGACCAGACCTGGACGCTGCAGCAAACACCTGACCCGACGCGGCTACCTGAGCAGACTCAGCGACCGGAGGAGACTCAATAGTCAGTGTGTACAGGCTCGACCCCGGCTGACGGGTAAACGTGGCCAAGTGACGGCCCGTCCGAGCACAGGTACAGTGGGTCACTCGCTGACTCGCAGGAGTGAACTGGTGAACCCCTCCATCCTGCAGGTCAGCACCACTCACCAAGTTCGTAGAGAACGAGGGGAGGTAAAGACCCGACAGGGTGCCAGAAGGGGCCGCCGGACTCGGTAAGACAGTGGAGAAGTGGGCAAGGACAGGACCCCCAGAGGGGTCTGCCAGGGAGACTGCCACTGGCCGACTAAGCGGCGTAAGCGTGGTGCGGTCTCGAAAGAAGGAGCGGGAAGCACCCGAGTCAAGGGTGAAAGTGTGGGTGGCCGGAGCCGACGCGGTACCTGAGAGCGCAGACTCACCAGCACCTGGGGCAGCAGACTCACTAGCACCTAGAGCAGTAGCCTCACCAGCACCTAGAGCAGCAGTCTCAATGCCCGGGTCAGGCGGAAAACACCGGTAACAGTCACCCTCATCACTAATAGTCACAGAATACATTGCAGCAAGAATAGCATCATAATCAAGATCAAAGATCGCAACACCCGCCCTAGACAGCTCGCCCCAGCGAGGGATCTCAGTAGCGTCGGGGAACTGATGACGCCAAGCGTCCGTCAGGCGGCCGAAGCAGCGCTGGGTGGAGTGCAGACCCCCACACTGCTCACCCGCGCGGTCGCCTGTACGCAGAACGTAGGTACAGGGGCCAGCACCCCCACCCCGCTGACGAGCAGTGTACCACTCACGAAGCTGCTGGGGGGAAGGGGTCTCACGAGTGCGCTGCTGCTGCTGCTGCTGGCGCTGACCACCGCCGGAGCCGACCCTCTGCGAAGAGCCGCCCCGACCAGCTCCACCTCCGCCGCCGCTACCTCCACCACCGCCTCCACCTCCACCACCTCCGCTCGCACCGCCACCACCGCCGCCTCCTCCGCCTCCACTGCCGCCACTAGCGCCCCCACTCCCGCCACCACCCCCACCGCCACCCCCACCCCCTCCGCCGCCTCCACCGCCGCCTCCACCGCCCCCGCCAGCCCCTCCAGCGCCCTTGCCCCCCTTGCCCTTGCCTGGGCGGCGTCTCCCGCTAGGGGCAGACGCCGCGCCGACCGACTCAAGACCAACGAGGTCGGCCGCAGCAGCAGAGGCAACAGAGGGCAAGAGGGGGGAGGGGGAGCACCCCTCAAAGACAGGGGTACGAGGGTCACCACGAGAGGCTCCTACAGCGACTATACTCTTTTCTGCTGCTAGGAGGCGCTCCTCGAGGAGGTCAACGGTGAGGGTGGTGGGGCAAACAGAGAGGAAGTGGTCCCTGACCGAGCGAAGGGTGTCAGGGAGCCGGGTGACTATGTAGTAGAGGGTGATGTACATAGGGGGGGGGTTCTTGGCGCAGAACTCAGCAGGAAGCGCAGCGCGGTAGCGAATGTCACTAGTGCGAAGGTGCGTAATGAGGTCAGCGACTGTGGGAAAAGCGGCGAGGTCAGGGAAGAGGTACGGCAGTATGAGGCGGCTAAGGGCAGCAGTGGCAGGGGAAGAGTAGCGTGCAACGACAGCGTCGTACAAGGTCTTAGCACTCTTGTACTGACTAAAATGCGCGTGCTCAGCGGTCGGTAAGTGGCGGCGCACAGCAAGGCGAGCAGCAGCATCGCGCGTGGCCCACTGTGAGCGAACAGTGGCATCAGCATCAGCAGCAGGGGCAGGAGAGGCACCAGAGGTGAGATCGAAAAGGGAGAGACCGTCTGCCCTATCGCACTGTAGGAAAAGCTGCAAGTCATCGACCCAGACCTCAAAGTCAACAGCCCGACCCTCAGCATCAAAGGTAAGGACACTGGGGGTAGCCATGACAGCAGCAGTCTAGCGGTGAGAGCGGCAGGCTAGAGGTAGTGCAGTGGCAGAGACGCTGCTTGGGAAAGTTCTCACCAGTCCGGGTGGGGAGGGCCTGGGCGCGTCGGCAGGAACAGGGCCGCAGCCGCGGCTGCGGCGGCTCGGCGGCTCAGCAGCGGCTCGGCGGCGGCTCGGCGGCGGCTCGGCGGCGGCTCGGCGGCTCGGCGGCGGCTCAGCGGCGGCCCGGCGGCTCGGCGGCTCGGTGGCGGCTCGGCAGTTCGGCGGCTCGGCTGCAGCCGCGGCGGCTCAGCGACGGCGGCGGCAGGGCCGGTGAGGGGCCGCACAGAGCGGCGATGGGGCCGCTGTAGGGCGGCGATGGGGCCGCTGGAGGGCGGCGACTGGGCCGCGGTAGGGCGGCGACGGGGCTGCTGAAGGGCGGCGGCGGGGCCGCTAGAGAGGCGGCTACGGGGCCGCTGAGGGGAGGCGGCGGGGCCGCTAGAGGGCGGCAACGGGGCCGCGGTAGGGCGGCGACGGGGCCGCTGAAGGGCGGCGGCGGGGCCGCTAGAGGGCGGCGACGGGGCCGCGGTAGGGCGGCGACGGGGCCGCGGAGGGGTGGCGGCGGGGCCGCTAGAGGGCGGCGACGGGGCCGTGGAGGGGCCGCGAGGGGCCGCGAAGGGCGGCGACGGGGCCGTGAAGGGCGGCGACAGGCCGCGAAGGGGCCGCGAGGGGCAGCGAAGGGCAGTGCGAGGGGCCGTAAGGGGCCGCGAAGGGCGGCGCGAGGGTCCGTAAGGGGCCGCGGAGGGCCGTAAGGGGCCGCGAAGGGCCGTGAGAGGGGCCGCTAAGGGCGGCGCGAAGGGGCCGCGAGGGGCCGTGAGAGGGCGCGACGGGCCGCTAAGGGCTAGGGACGCGACGGGAGGGACACGGGGCGCGACTCGGGCAGGAGCGAAGCGCGCTCCGGGCAGGAAAAAAAATCGATCGTGGTGGGCCCTAGGAAGCGTTCCCACTAGGGAACCTGCTCTATACCATGTGAAGAAACGAGGAATGAGTGAACTAGGAAATGAGTTGGGTACAAATATGAAACCCTAGAAAGCTGTACCCCATACTGTCTACCCCACTACAGCCTAGAAAGACTATAGCATATAAGTTCGACACGTGCTTCTCATTGATGCGGTGAGGAGTGCACAGTAATATTCAAGTATTACTATTCGTAACAGTACCAATAATGGCGGAATACCAATTAGACTCCGTTGGTGACTTCTGGCTGTAAAAGTGTTTCCGCCGAAATTCCACCTAGCTGCGCTGTAACAGAATACACCTCAACGGGTATACCCCTTAACGGGGATAACCGGAGAAGGGAGTGTTGGGAGGGGAGGGGGATTGAATGAGGGAGGGGAGGAGGAAGGTGGGGAGCAGTACGTTATGAAAACGAGCTCTTGGGATTCGGTTTTCAGGTTTCCATCTGCCCATTTCGGTTTTGAGAAGTCGCAAATCTCTTGAAAATTGAGTTTAGGGCGGGTCCAACTTTGCACACTTCCGTTTTTCCCGTTATTTTTACGTCAAAACACTTGTCAAATTTGACTGTACCCCAGGGCGTACTCCTACCGTTTCCTGTCCAGTTCGGAGTGTACAGTGCGTACTTTTGACGAGGTACAGTGACGTTGCGAGGTACAGTACTTGGGAATGAGAGTTACCAAATGTTGCGAGGGTTTCCGCATCTAGGGCGAAAAAAATAATGCACTGGCGAAAGGGTTGCTGGCGAAAAACGGGCGTTACTTTGACGGGAAGCGATTTGGGAGACGAACCTTCGGATGTGTTCCGCACGTCCCGGGGCGCGTTTCCGAAATGAGCTCATTTATGGGCAGTCTCGCGTCAAGCGAATTTTGTACGTTAAAATTTCTGTTACATGCTCAATTCTGGTAACTTATGAAAATTAACCGTACATGTGCAAGGTTTGACCCGCCCTTAGGGTTTCGATCTGCCCCATTTAGCTGGTAATGCATATGTGTGTATATTTTCAGTTATTGCCTTTTCGTTCATTCACAATCTATTCGCTCTGGCTTTTTGACCGACCAATAAATCTGCGTTTCGAGAATGCCGCCACACCCCAGCCACGATGGCGATCACCAAGCCACAGATGCACCAAACCGAAAAGATTTCGAGCCGCGCATCGAAAATCTTGGAGGCGTGAAGTTGGAGCCGCGCGAATTTCCATGGTTTTGGTTTTCGATCTGACAGAGCAGCACACCACCGTCGGCAGTTAGCGAGAAACTCAGATGTTCAAATAGCCATGGATGTCACAGCATAATCACTCAGCTAAGGTTGCAAGTCCTCCTCACTTCAAATCCCTTAGCTCTCCAGCCGGATACAGTGTTTCCTCCCAACTTCGCAGCTTTTCCTTCCTTCCTTCAAAAGACTTCGCAGTCGTCGCCATGGCCAGGTTCCTATCTCTCGCGCTTTTGGCTGTCCTCGTCGTTGGGGTAATTACTCCCCTGGAGGCAGCGCCGAAGATGTCGCTGTACGAGAAGAACCTGAACGACGTGATCACCGTCGTCAAGGCGAAGCCCGGTTACAAGGCTTTCGCATCGCTCGTCGGCGCAATTCGTAAGTACCATTAACACGAGTTTCGCATCAGTTTCGCTCGACAATCAGTGGTCCATTTTTCGCCTCTGCAAACCTCGGTCTCCTTAACAGATCAGCCAAGCGGCGGCAGTCGTCCCAGCACGGCCGCGACGAGCACGAGTTGCAAAGTCGTCCCAATCCCAACCCTGACCCACTTAAATCAGCTTTTATCCCTCTCCCCCTTCCCTCCTTTCCTCCCCGATTCGCCAACCCCAGTCAAACAATCCCAGCTGAAGAGTCTCGTCCAGCAGAACCTGACCATCTTCGTTCCCAACGACAAGGCTCTTAACGACTTCAACCTCACCCAGTACGCCACCGCCGACCTCCTTAAGGTCGTCAAGTACCACGCCGTCAAGGGCACGTACACCTTCGCGCAGCTGCAGGCGCTCGCCGCATCTGGCGGCAAGCTCCAGACGACCTTCGGAATGCCGATCTCCCTCACCCCGACGAAGAAGGGCATCGGCATGTTCGGCATGGAGAAGATCGGCGCCGCTGTCCTCGATAAGGACATCTCCATTAAGCCGACGGTGGTTGCGCAGGGAATTTCCCGGGTGCTTAAGCCCAAGGGGTTCGTTATTAAGGGCGCGAGCGCGGCTCCCCCAGCTTCCAAGTCACCCGCGAATAAGTCACCCGCGAATAAGTCACCCGCGAATAAGTCACCCGCGAATAAGTCACCCGCGAATAAGTCACCCGCGAATAAGTCACCCGCGACTAAGTCCCCCGCGACTAAGTCTCCGACTCCAACGACTACCTCTCCTAAGACTCCCAAGACTCCTAAGACCACCGCTTAAAGTGGGTTCTCGTCTGACACTGCCAGGTGTCGAGCCGGGGAACCGAGCTACTATACTGTAGCCGGATACAACAGGCAGGGGACAATAATCAGGCAGCATATGACACGTGGCTTTTGACACATTATTCCCTGCTTGAAAATCCAATACGACGGCTTATACTTTAGATTTAGGTCATAACGTGCAGGCTGTGCTACGTTGCACGGCCAGTAACGCGTAGGCAACTGATGTTTATACCTCTTTTTGATTCCCAAACGATACTTATTTACCTGGCTACTGCATGTTTTAATTAAACATTAAAGCCCGGAATCTCGATTTTAATGTTGGTGTTACACACTGGTATAAGAGTGTCTAATATGGCGTACAAGTATCTGCCTTTCGAATTCGATGTTTCTGGGCTTTGTGCGAACTGGTTATTCATTCATGCGACGAACGGATGCGACATTGAGACGACATGGATCCCGCCATCTTCTCTGCGGGAAACTTATTCGCCCACGACAGCGACGACGACGATTCGCCACGTAAGGCCAGCCGTTAATTATACCAACACTTTGATTCCCTTCCTAAAACCTTTTTTTTTTTTTTCCCCCGTTTCTTTTCTTCAAGTCTCGCCGAAGCGTCTGTTCGCTGCTGTAGGGTGACTGGTATTAGTACAGCGTTAACTATTGTCTTGATGGAACCACAGCAAGGCTTCACAACGTAGTTGAGTTACTCCTTCCCGTCGCCGATCCCTCGCTCTAACTTTGCAGGAGCTGCGCGGAATACCGCGGTGGAGGTTGACGGCGGAAGCGGCGGAATCGAACCGAATGGCAGCGCGGCGGGAGACCAACGGGGATGCGCGCACGGGGGGGAAGCGGGGGAGGCGGAGGAGGCGGATGAGGGAATGGAGTATGCGGAGAGGCGACACAAATTTCCCGGGGGACAGGTGTGTTGCGGTGCGGGGAAGGGGAAAGGGGGGTTTATGGGGGGAGAGTGAGGGGGAAGAGAGGAAGAACGGGGTGAGGGTGGGAGAACAGCGGGGAAGAGAGGGGGAAGGGAGGGGGGAAGGCGGGGGAAGTGGGTTTCGGTTAAAAAGAGGTTTTAGGGTTTTCATCTGCCTAATCCAGGTACTGTTACTGTTAAATTCAATTTCCATCTGTTGTTTCCATCTAGTAGAATCCAACTCGCCCTTGCCTGTACTTCATTGCTCCTCCTACGGATTCTTCTCCCACAACGAGCGTTTTTTGTTTTTTCATAAGCTTGTTTTATATGCTCCTCATTAGTATTGTTACCACCTCGTTGCACTGGTCTTATATCAGGAGTTGCTTATAAGGGAGTTCTCCTTCCATCCAGTCAACGCCAACCTGCTCTGGCCTGGCGCCATGTCGTTCGCTGATTGGCTGGCCGCCCGGCCGCAAGTATTGGCCGGTGCAAGAGTCTTGGAGATTGGGAGGTGAGCGGGCTTTAATATGGGTTGTGGGGGCGGTGGGGGATGGGAGGGGGGAGAGGGGAGGGGGAGGGGTGGGAGGGAAGGGGAAGGGAGGTTAAGTCGGGGTTTCTTGATTGCCTCAAATTATCCCCCTTCGTTACGATTTATCTTGGTGTTTCCTGTCATTTCGATTTCGTGGTCTCAAAATCCTAAGCCTTGAACCCCACTATCTGTTGTGATTGTAACGAGGGTGCTTGCAGTGGGACAGGTGCGCTGGCCATCTTTCTGAGCAAGGCCATGGGGTGTGACATCACCACGTGTGACTATAACGATGCCAGCATTGCAGCCAACATTCACCACAACTGCTTGGCCAATAGCATCGAACCCCTGCCTCACATTCGACGTAAGCACGTTTAAAAGCACAATCCTGTTCTCAAAACCCTAAACTGCTTGGCCAATGGGAACCATTGCCTCACATTCGACGTAAGCACAAACTATTGAAAGCACACTCGACATAAGCACCAAAACCGACTGCTATTTTTTGTATCTCCTAATTACCTTTCTTCCCTTTTCTTTCGGTCCTCAAGCTTACACAATCCAGCGTCAAGTCGATCCAAACGTCAATTAAGTTGCACAAACTCCCCACTTTCCCCCGTTTTCCCTACACGTATGCATGAATGCATGCATGCATGCAGACACATGGGGAGAACCGTTTCCCATCAGCCAGCCATCGTGGGATGTCATCATTGCCAGTGACGTTCTGCTTTGTATGTGTAGATTCTGGTGTTTTCTTCTCCCATGTCTCTTCTCGTTTTATTACATTTTCCTACACGTACGTATGAATCCATGCATACATCATTGCGCAACCATCGTGGGATCTCATTATCGCTAGTGACATTCTTCTCTGTGCGTTTTCCATGTGTCGATTTGGGTGTCATTCTTTCCCTTGGGTTGTCTCAAGTTTCACATTCATTGTTTGAGATCATCATGTGTGTACTCTGATGAGCTTTGCATTGATCTGCCCTTGCTTCTCTATACACAAGATTAAAACATATATATATTATATATACATGTCGTAAATACAATTCCCCGAGGCTCCCTAACAAGTGTATGCCTCTCACGTCTCTCCATATTCACATGGGCCATGTGATTCATGTCTTGATCGCAGATGTGAAAGAGTATCCCAATCTCGTCAAGACCCTCCGCTTCCTCCTCTTTGGCGCTCTGAAGTCCTCCCAGACCGTACAAGGCAAAGCCTCTGTGAGAGGAGGGGAAGAAGGGTGTTCGGTAGAGGAGAGAGAACAGGCAGGTTGTTCTTTGGCAGGACTGGGTGCTTCTGAGGCTGCTGTGGTGGCAGGAGCAGCAATGGATGCAGGTGAGTTGGCAGCTGCAAAAGAAGCAGCAGTAGCAGAAGAAGTAGCAGAAGCAGCAGCAGAAGCAGCAGCAGCAAGAGACGTGGTAGGGGACACAGTTCCCAATGCAGCTGCTGCTGCCTTGAAGGAAGTAGGGATGGTTGTTGATGCAACTGCTCCTATAATGCAGCCGCAGGGGAAAGAACGTGAGGCGGGACGTGGGAATGCAAGGCAGCGAGTGCAGAAGCAGCAGCGCTATAGGGAGCAGGCGCCTGCTGATGTGGCGCTGACACGGCCGTGTTTCGTGATGAGCTGGCGCAGGAGAATCCCGAGGGAAGATGAGGAGGGGTTCTTCAGGTTGTGTGAGGAGGCGGGGATGAGTGTGGTTGATCTCGGCTCTAGAGTGTTTTGTATTGCTCCAATTGCTAGTGAATGATAACCTTTCACTATAAACCAAAGACTTTGCACGTTTGCACGTTTGCACTTGCAGTTTGCACGTTTTCAGACTCTTCATACAGCAGCTTATAGTATATTACATGACACTTGCAGCTTTCACTGGATGAAAGTGAGGAAAGGCTTATAAATGCTGAAGATTTATTGTCGCATTACTGTTCTGTTCTTTGGGGCTCTTGCTCGCATGGCACTAGACACTGTAAACCAATTTAAGGGTATTATTACGGTACCTGAACTACCAGGCTAACGAACTAGCACCTTTACACACACCATCAACATACTAGAAGCATGAGCTACAAGCTTCACTGCCCAGTTGTCGCATGAAGCTTGAGCCCTCTCCTCCTCACTGCTCCCTGCTCCCCACACACTGGTACTGCCCCGAGCTGTCAAGCCCCATCACTCTCCCCGCCGTCATAAGACAATCTCTAGAAGCAGGCCCAGTTGTCACAACAAGCTCGAGCCCTTCCCTCCTCCTCACTGCCTTTCACACACTGGTACTGACCTGAGCTGTCACCATTTCCACCCCACCCCTCACCCTCACAAGACAATCTCTAGAAGCACGCCCAGTTGTCACAGGAAGCTTGAGCCCTCTCCTCCTCAGTATTCTTCACACACTGGTACTGCCCCGAGCTGTCTCCATTCAGAAACCCAAACACACTCCCCTTATGCTCCACAGCACACCCACCCTCCACCTCTCCCCCCACACCACCATGCTTCTTACAGCTGGCGACAAACTCGCCACACCCCCCCTCCCTCCCACCACCAACCCGAGACTCATCACAACCTCTCTCAAACTGTGCACTCCATTCCTTGTCCAAACTCTGCGCTCCAGGCTCCTCTGCTGCTGGTCCCCCATTGCACGGTAGGCCAGCATAGCCGTTATTCATGTAGGTCCACACGGAGGGCGTCTGCTGCTCCAAGAGCTCCGGATCGCTTTGAGCCGCCTCAAAAGTTTCCCCATCCGCATCCCCATCCCCATCCCCATCACCATCACCATCACACGACAGGCCAGTGTACCCGTCATGCATGTAGCTCCACACAGAGGGGATTTGCTGGCTGAAAAGCTCTGGATCTTCCAAACTGTCATTGCTGCTGCCACCACTGTCACTGCTGCTGCTACTACTTCCATTCACCCTGACCCTGCTGCTGCCGCTGCGGCTGCTGGTGCGACCGGGAGAATCACTGGGCGATCTGCTGGAGGAAGAACTCCAGGCACTCATGGTATCAGAGCCGTTGATGTCCTTGAGACCTCTGGCACTCATGGTATCAGAGCCGCTGATGTCCTTGAGACCTCTGGCACTCATGGTATCAGAGCCATTGACGTCCTTGAGACCTCTGGTACTAGAGTTGAGAATAGGCGAGGTAGACGTGCTTGGTGCTGTTGGTGTTGAAGTGTTTCCTGGAGTGATTGACCGTTCATTGTCGGTGATGATTTGCTCCATTGCCTCGTAAACCTGGAGAGGAATGGTGGGGCAATAGAAGGGACAGATGAAGAGACGAGGCAGATGTAACTCATTGTCATGCACAACTTACCATGTAGATGTAACTGAGTGTCAAGTGCGACGTATCGTGCAGATGTAACTCAGTGTCATGCACAACGTATGTAACTCAGTATCAAGTGCAGCATAACGTGAAGATGTAACTGTATCAAGTGCAACGTACCATGCAGATGTAACGCATTCTGTCCTGTGTCATGTGCCGCCCGCACGCATGCAAGATGTACTTCACAGAATCTTCCAATGTGGCCTTGCTGCTGCTCTCTCGCACAAAGGGAGCCACTTGAAGCGCTGCCGAGCAACCCACAGACACCTGGGAAGGTGGCAAACAGAGAGGCAAGGGAGGATGGTGGTTGTCTTGACAGCATCGTCCAACCAGGCCTTGCTGCTGCTGCTGTCCCGCACAAAAGGAGTGACTTGACGCGCTGCCGAGCACCCCACAGACACCTGCGATGGTTGCAAGGAGAGAGATGATACAGGGTGCAGGGTGCTTTTGGAGAACGCATGCAAGATGGACTTCACAGCATCGTCCAACCAGGTCTTGCTGCTGCCGTTTTGCAGGAAGGGGGCCACTTGAAGCGCTACCGAGCGCCCCACAGACACCTGGGATGGTTGCAAAGAGAAAGAATAGGGAGGATGGTGGCTGTGCTCACAGAATCGTCCAACCAGGCCTACAAGGCAAGGGTAGTGAAGAGTTGAGCTTTGAGGGGCTTCTCAGAACGCGTTTCTAGTCACCAGGCAGACTAGGAGGGGCTTCTCAGAACGCGTTTCTAGTCACCAGGCAGACTAGGAGGCACGCAGCACGATTTTTGAGGAGCCTCAAAAATCAACTAGGAGGCACGCAGCAAGAGTTGTGGTGTGAAGAGAGCTTACGAGGCAGGTGAAGAGTTGAATGAAGAGCTCTGACGGACTGATGCTCTCCAGATACTCCAAGCTCCTTGCCCTGTTGGCCGTTCAAGGAGCAGCCCAAGTGAAAGGAGGAGAATACTATAATAATGCTGAAGCAGCTTGCTGTCGCAAACATGCAAGTTGGACATTTGACACACGAGCAAGCATATCACGTGAGCTGACATGGAAAAACATTTCAACAGGTGCGTAGACGGCCCACCAAAGCACTCACCCGGCCTCACACTCGTCGAAGAGAGGCGGCTGCAGGAGGGTGTTTTGAGACGTCTCAAAAAACACCAAAGCACTCACCCGGCCTCACACTCGTCGAAGAGAGGCGGCTGCAGGAGGTGCTTTGAGACGTCTCAAAAAACACCAAAGC